ATATTCAAGTCTAAAATAAACAGTAAAATTGTCCCCCTTTCTCTCTCCTTGGCTCCATTCCCAAAAATACAGTTGACCCATGAACAAAGTGGGGGTTAGGGGAACTGACCTCTCCTAGCAGTCGAAAATCTGGATATAATTTTTGATTTCCCAGAAACCTAGTTTTCCCTCAGTAACTGCAGGGGTGGAGGGATTGGGTCCAGGACCCCTGCAGATACCCAAACCCACAGATGTTCCAGTTCCATATACAAAATGGCATAAATCAGTGCAAACAGTCAGACCTCCATATCCATGGACTCCCAACCAGGAATCAAAAACAATACAGGTATTTACTTTTTTTTTAAATCTGGTACAAGTGGTTCAATGCAGTTCAAATGTTGTACAAGGGTCAACTGTAATTTATTTTAAAAGTAATTGGGGTTTTTTTGGGGGGAGGTTGTATTTACCATTACAAATTTAAAGTCTTACACTATAATTTCTTAAATTTTTGACATCTATTCACTCCACATGATGCAATAAGAAATATGAAACATTTTACTGCCTTGCAAATTCTCACCTCTTGATTTTATTATTGATATTAAAGTTCTAATACTTATATTTTTATATTATAATTATGTAATTAAATCTTGTGCAATTTGTGTAGATTGATTTAAAATCAATGAATAATATTAAAACAGGACTAGCATATCATAATTACTCCCTACTGAACCAACAAGTGTGGCCAAACACATGGAGAAGAGAAATTCTGTCACCAAACGCCTAACTCTTGAAGAATGTCCCAAGCATGAACAGAAGTCGCCTTATTAATTCGTTTTCACTTTTTTTTACTCCATCTAGGAAATTCTCAGTTCCTATTCTTCTCTTCATTTATGTCACCTTTCTCTTGTTTCACTTTTTTTCATTTTGTTAGAACAACATATATGTGGGTGTAGAGGTATTAAACTTTCTGAGCTCTTTCATATCAGAAAATTATTTTCTTCATTCAGTTAATGAAATTTCAGACAGAGGCAGAATTCTACATCCCAAATTATTCTCTCAGAAATTTGAGAAAATAGTATTCCATCATCTCATGGCTCTGAGATGTTGTGAATGCTGCTGAGAAAGTGTTGATATAATCAGCATGTTCCTCATGCTTTTGTAGGTGACACAGCAAGTTTTCTCTTTGAAAGAGTCTAGGGTATTTTTTTTAGTCTTCTGAAAATGCAAAAGAATGTGAAAAACTATGTCTTTTAAAATTTACCCTCCTTGGTATTTTATTGAGCTCTTCTAATTGAAAGATTATGTCTTTATTCAGATCAGAATAACTTACTGTTTTTTCCATCAAATGCTCCCAGTTACTACGCCAGCATCCTGCTTCTGGAATGCCTAATAAACAGATGTTGAGCTTGTGTTTGGCCTCCATTTATCATATTTTCAATCTCTTTGTTCTTTTATATTCAACTAATGCTCATGTAATTTTTTAATTCTTTCATTGCAAACTTATAAAAGGAAGGGAGCTGTGCATTTGTGCTCTGTATTTCATATAAAAGTCTGGGTTTTTAAATATTTTTATGTGAAACTTTTATGTAAAATGTTGCAAATCAAACTATATGCCTTCCTTCAAGACTGCAGCATTGAAGGTGTAAACTAATAGTCTAGAGGAAGCTGGTAATCAAAAATTTAATTAGCAATTATATATTCCTTGTAAGATGATACTCTTTCCAGTTTATCATACAATTTAGCTACTTGTATTCATTTAATAATTTAAACTATAACCAGCAGCAACATTCCTTGTGTATACAAAAGGGGTGAGAATTTATTTTCCCATTTTAATACACATCACTGTTTTTATTTCAGAATTTGATATTCATATTTAATAATTCAGAATTTAATACCTAGTAGAAGAGATATCTTTTTCTTTGTTCCATTTTTGAGGAACATTAATCTACTAAAAAATCTATCCCTCAGATAGTGTATCTTTGAAACTATGTGCCTCTCTATCCTAAACACTGAAATCGGTACTTCTCCACTCTTTTCCTCATACTATTATATTACTATTTCTAACTAGTCATTCAAAAGAAAATAGATATATTCTATCACACTAAAAACCAGAAAAATAATAGCCCATCTTAGAAATGTGAAAACCTTCAAATATAGAGCATCTTAACCAGCATTATTATTTTGCATGATTTTATATTTATTGAAACTGAAACAATTTACTTTTATAATAATTTCATTATTATCATGTGTGTGGTACCAAAAATTACAACACAAAGAAGTTCAAAAGCATTTTGCAATTTTTGCTCTTTAGCAATAGAAATTAACAAGTGCAGGAGATTAATTACTTATTGAATCACTTTGACTTAAGAGGGAATGGATACTATTCAAAATACCACATTTGCCCCAAAATAATTAAAAATAATAAAACCCAGATAAAATATAACAAAATCCTATTTGTAAAGGCCTCACAGAGTTGTGTATCACCATAGACAAAAGGGACCAAGAGTCTGAAAAGGGTAGAAGGTCTGAAAGGTGAGCTATCAATTTGCACGTATTTATCCCTGGAGGCATTTGTTGATAATAGACAAGAGAGAAAGAATTTGGATTTAGCACTGGCAAAGGATTACTGTTAAGGAACTGAGAAACAAATTTATTGTGGTCTTGTGGGCTAGAATGACAAAACTACAGATTTGAGAAGTCATAAAACACATAATCTGTTTCCCCATCAAGATGTTTTCAAGGCACCCCAAAATCCACTTTCACCTGCCTCCACCTGCCTACTGCCTGTTAGGCTCAGTCACTGAAAGAGTCTCTGGCAGTGCTCAAGCTGCAGGAGAAAGGTTCTCAGTGAGTCACCAGGTAGGGGTAAGTGGTGTTCACCAGATTGATACAGGTTCAAACTTGGTGCCACTGTTGGGTCTGAGCCATTTAGCAAATGTCCCAGGGTATATCAAGTCTAGCTGCCACCTGCCGAGTACCCGCAGACCTTTGTGGTAGAGTGAGGTCTCAGGGGGTCATTAGGGTGAGGCCAGCAGAGTTTATCAGGCCCAAACAGACCAAGTTTTGGCTGTGTGAAGGGAGTGCTCTGCACTGGTAGGTCATGTGAGGGGAAACAGCCCCCATGTTAGAGCCACACAACTCAGTCTATCCCAGATTCTGCCAGAAACCACAGCTCAGCAGAGCGGGGCTTCCAGGAGTTGGGAGGGTGGAGCTACTGGATATCCGGTGAGGGAAAGCACCAGTCAGGCTTTGGGTAATGTGGAGGGAGTAGCCTCTACCCCAAAGCCACACAACTCAGTTACTGATATCCCGAGTCTTCCCAGACCTCTAACACCCCTGCCCAGGCATCTTACCCTTCAGCAGGGTGTGAGCTCCACAGGGGGGGATGACAGGAAGTCCTGAGGGTGAGGCTATTGCTTTCCCCCAGGCTGCTGCCCTAAGAGAGGGAGTGCTCAACCCAAGAAAGATGGCATCTCTGGTGTGGGAAAAGTACTCAGGACAAGGATTCTGGCAGCTGTCCCTTCAGCTCTCTCCCTAGAGCCACAAACCCTAGTCTCTTTTCATATGACTCTAGTCCACTTTGTTGCCCCTCAACCAGAGCCCAAGGTAAGTGGCTGCAAATGAGATTCTGTGCATTTAAGAGGTACCTGTGTCTCTAGCAGACTATCTCTTCCTAGCAGACACAATCCCCATTGATTTTCACAGCCATTTGTTATGTGGGTGCCTCCTCCTGGCTCTGGTGCTCTAGGCTGGGGAGCCTGGCCTGGGGTTGAAATCCCAAGCTCCTCAGGGGCAATGTTTGCAGCTGAGCTATCCCTCAGGGATCTCAGCCACTGCTTATGGGAGCAGGACCAGGCCTTTTCATGTCTCCGCCCTTCCTGCCAGTCTTAATGTGGCTTGTTCTGTAAATCCTTGCTTATAAGACCAGCTAGTCTTCAGTTGGTTATTCAGGCTGATTGCTCTATGTTCTAGTTGTAATTCCAGCTTGGTCCTGGGAGAAGGTGAGTGTGGCTTCTACCTATTCTGCCCATCTTGAATATCTAAATTTCTCTTTTAGATAGTTTGTTGTTAGTGTATAAAAACACGATCTCACTTATACATGGAATCTAAAGAACTTAATAAACTGATGAACAGAATAGATTCAATGACATGGAAGCATAGATCAGACTGACAAATGTCAGAGGAATGGAGGAGGGCGGGTGGGTGGAGGGGGAGAGAGTAACCAAAGAATTTGTATGCATATATGCACAGCCCAAGGACACAGACAATGGTGGGGAGAGGGACTGGGGAGGGGAATGGGACAGGGTGGAACAGGTCATTGGGGAGAAAAAGGGACATCAGTGATATTTTAAACAAAAATAAAATTTTAAAAATTTTAAAAAAACACACATATATCTCCCTGATCCCTTAAAAAAAAAAAAAAAAAAAAATTTGAAGAAAAAAATAACCTGCCATTCATAATGGCATAAGGCAAATTTTTAAAAAACTAAAAATACATTCATAGAATTAATCATTTAATTTAGCAAGAAGTATAGATAAAACAAATCTTTAATAAAGTCTGTTATATTTATTTATACCAGTTACAGAAAGCTAACCAATGCAAATATTTTAAAAATACCATTTATAATAGAATTAAAAGACATCAGATACCTAGGAATAAATCTAATAAAGATATGTGAGGCTTCTACACAAAAATTATAAAGCTCCAAAGCATTTAAAGAAGACCTAAATTTACTCTTATAAAACAGCAGAGCAATCTTAAAATGAAGATAAGCATTTAAAGAAGTACATATGAGATCCTCAAAGAGATAAAGAATAAGATCTATTGTTTTTAAAAACTGCAAACATATAGATGTGAACCAAATTAATTATTATTCTTATATCATAATTTACCATACAAATCTTTTCAGTAATAATCACATGGTTTATACCGATGACTCATTTATACCACATGTAATTTTTAACCCTAAATTAATGGTATTAATTAGATGTAAGGAATTATTTTTGTATTCACATGTTACCTGATAAGCAGCAGGCCCAGGAGTAGTAAAAGCTTCTTTCTGATGCAAGAAGAAAGTCCGAGGAACAGAAGACCCAAATGCACTTTTCCTTTGTTTCTTTAAGCACGCTTTGCTAGAGTTGTCGATGACAGTATTGTTTAGGATATTATAAAACCCAGGACCTAAAATTATGAAGGGTATAATATATAAGAATAAAAATGCTTTTAAATATTTAAATGGAGTAAGTTTAAGTTCTTTTTTAGAAAGAACTCTCAAATATTGCTAGCAGAATGCAAAATAGTATGACACTTTGAAAAACAATTTGTCAGATTCTTATGAAGTTAAATATGTACTACCATCTGACCCAGAAGTTCTACTCCTAGGTACATTCCCAACAGAAATAAAAACTACCCAAATGTCCATCAGCTCATGAATAGATAAACAAAATGTGCTATACCCAAACAATGGAAAACTACTCAGCGATAAAATGGAAAGATAAATGCATCAACATAAAATGAGCCTCAAAAACAGCATACTAAGTGAAAGAAGACATATGTAAAATCCTGAATAATGGATGATTCCAATTATATAAAACTTCAAAAAAATGCAAAATCATAATGACAAAAACAGTTGCCTGGGGCCAGGAGTGGGAATGGAGATTAAATGCAAAAGGGCATGAGAGAACTTTTTAAGAATGATGGAAATGTCTCAAAACATGATTGCAGTAATGGTTACCTGACTATATACATTTACCAAAACTCCTCAAACTGTACACTTAAAATGAATTCTTTTTATTTATGTAAATTATGCCTCAATCAGAGAAGAAATAGGAAGGAAGGAAGGAAGGAAGGAAGGAAGGAAGGAAGGAAGGAAGGAAGGAAGGAAGGAAGGAAGGAAGGAAGGAGGGAGG